GGGCAGCCACCACTTCCCTGGGCAACCTGTGCCAGTGTCTCACCACCCATACAGGAAAAAACGTTTTTCTAGTATCTAACCTAAACTTCCCCTGCAATTTGAACCTGTTACCCCTTGTCCTATCATTGCAGTTCCTAACACAGAGTCCCTCTCCAGCTCCCTTGTAGCCCCTTCAGATAATGAAAAGTCGCTATGAGGTCTCCACGCAGTCTTCTCTTCTCCAGGCTGAACAGCTCCAACTTCCTCAGCCTGTCTTCATATACACACATATACATATATGTTAAAAAAAAAATCCGATTATAAGAACTACCTTAACTGGTTACTCATTAAATGAAGAATAAAATTTTTAATTAGCAACTGATTGAGAAAACAGTTTAGTAGCGCTTGGACATAGGTTTGGTTAAATTGGTTTTGCAAATTAATTTCTGATAACAAACTGAGGCTAAAATTCAAGTTCAAATCAAATAATTCCAGCATCAAATAACACAAGTGTCTTCTGGTGTGATTTCACTCATTTGGCTACATACTCAGAATACTTATGAAATTAATTTGTACTCCAAGAAATATGAAATTTTAGGTGAGAGCATCACATTGCAACATCTGAAACTAAATTTCCTCTAAACTTTTTTTGGGGAAGAAAAATGAAATCTGAATGTGTAGGTCTGGAGACTCAGCTAAGAACCAGTTTTAAACCATTAAAAATCAGGAGGAATGATTGCAATGACTTTAAAAGGCCCTTTGGTTTACCACCACCTTATACCCCAGTCCTAATGGCGATCAGAATAGACCACCAAGTTGAACATTTTAAAATAAACACTGTCATAGTAATTTATATAATGACTATTTATAGTGGTTTGCACTTCAGCTGGGTTCTGTCTGACAAATATTTTTTCAGAAAATAGTGGAGTTTTCCAGGCTTTGAAAGATGCTCAATATTACCTCCAGTCTGCAGTCAGGAGAGCTGAGACATTGATGATTGACTTAATCTAGGTCATAGAAAATGCTGGTAAGAGCCAGACATAGGTTGAGACTCACCTAAGTAACCAGCTTAGATATCTCAATGTAGTATTTGACTGTGGCACTTATAATTGCAGAAGTAGTAAAAAAATAAAGCATAGTGATAATAAACAGAAATATGTACAGGCTGTCATGAAAAGGGTCTAAACATTATATTTGAAAGCAAATAATGAATTTAGGTTCAATTATTCATTTTGGTTAAAGAAGAGGAATTGTTTTGGTCCATCTGGCAATAAAAGAAAATAACAATTTAAAAGCTGAAATACAGGCTCTACATACAGTAGAAATAAGGAAGGAAGAGAGAATAGGGAGGCTCCACTCACTGGTACTTTTCAATCAGTATGTGAAGACAATTAGAGCATTTTTGCTAAAAACTGCCTAAAGACCAACTAGTGAGGTACATAAATAATTGCCTAGGTTTTTTAAATATTTAATTGTCAAACAGCTTTTGAATTTCCAAAATCAGTAAACAGTAGCACACAGATGATGATCTATATTTATGATGTATGTTCAAACTCTGAAACAAGATAATTACTACAAGAGAAAATACTTAAAACAAAAAGAACAACAAAGAAACCCTACACACATAGCATCTGAAAGCATCAAATAGAATTGGAAATCAACCAGAGAGAAGAAAAAACAGGAGAATCCCAACCTGACAGACTGCACTGTAACTTCTTTTTGCAGAATCAATCTGTTTTGGAGGCTGCTTGATTCTGGCAGCTAGAAATTGCTTAATGAGCCATTAAGAACACAGGATTTGCCACATCAGGGAAGATGATTTATTCATCTAGTTTAGTACTCTGACTACACCTGAGGCTTTGGAGAAAGATGAAAAGTATGCCCAGGGCACTTTGCTGCACCCAGGGTTACCCAGGGAAAACCCAATCTGTCCCATGAAATATAATATAAAAATAATGGGAAAAAAATAAAAAGAACAATGAGGGAAAAAGAATAAAGTTTTTACTACAGAATACAAATCTTTGAAATTAAATAAATACCTCTTAAGATGAGAAATGTTGCCCTGGGTCCCAGAAAAAGTTTATTTCTTCCCAGGACAGCTGCTGAGCTGTAACTGCCCAAGGGAGTAACCACCAAGCGTTTGCCTCAAGACTGCATTTCTCAGATGTATTTCTACATTTCTGGTCTAAGCACCTAGTAAGGAGCAAGAGAAAATTGCTTCCAAATTCCCCTTATCAGTCTGCACATGATCCAAACATATAATTTAATTATTTTTATAATGTTAGCCTGCATGCTATAAAATCCTAAAATGGTCATTAAACTATCCAGCCAGCGCATTTGGTTTGACGACTCCCTATATTCATGAACAGGTTTGACAAAGATCCTAAACAGCACATAATTTCAGCAAAATTATTGTGTGACTAGTTCACACTGAAGCCACTTATGCTCAATTACATTATAAAATGGAGCATCTGCACAGGCTTCAGTGTGTTCTTTACAATCAGCTGACAGACCTCTAACTTCTCCTTCTTGGGAAAAACTACCCTGAGGTTTTTGGTGCTAACTGTTGACATAAGCATTGTCGGCCTTTTAACATCTTTTGTAAAAAATGTTATAGTTGGTGCTAACTGTTGACATAAGCATTGTTGGCCTTTTAACATCTTTTGTGAAAAATGTTATAGCTCTTCAAAGGATATAAAATTCAAGTTGGCTTTCAAATTCCACTCCAAAAGCCGGACAATGTAAACACTTTTGTGGTTTATATCCCTCAGTCTGGTCATACCAGAAGGTCTTAAGAATTTGTTGGCTTCATAGTCTATGAGGAATATGTTTCTGAATTTAACTTCCTCATATTCACTCATCAGCCTCTAAATGAGAAATCCATGCTGCTGTCTTCCCCAGCCCCTCAATATCGCTCCTACCTGAACCATGTCAGTAGAGTGGTTGGAAAATAGAGGGTGGACACAAGTTCTATCACCATGCACAGAAGGAAGTTGCCATGAAGCACGACGAACATAACACTCTCAGTCCTATGATTTAGTTTTTGGTGGTCCTGTGAGGAGCAGGGATTTGGACTCCTCATTGGTCCCAGCCAACTTGAGACAGTCTATGATTCTATGTACATGCATACTGACACAACTCTCTCAACCACTGCTTCTCAGGTCTTTGCTGTTTTACTGCTATTTTTTGTAATTATTCTAGACAAAATTTGGCAGTAAAATAAAATAAATCCATTTTTGGATTGTTAATATTAAAGAAAAAAACAAACTAGGGGGAAAGCACCAACAGGCACACACAATAAAATGAAAGTTCCATGATCTGTGCTGTAGGTAGCACAATTTACCCAACCCAATAGACGAACCATCAGCCAAAATCTGACAGTATATGATGGAATACAAAGAGCACAATTGATTTACATCTTATTGTGACATTGCTTTGTTTTTGGAAGACAAATAAGAAGTTATTTATATCTCTTATCAAGAAGTTGCTAAGTCTCTCAGGGAAAAAAATAGTTTACTTTTCAACTATTATTTCTGTTACCACTTTTGCCTCCAAGATATATTATTGCATATAATATGCACAAATCCATTGAAAAGTTCCTGGATGAAGTTTGACTTATATGGTCATATCTTTGAAAAGAAGAAAGAAACGTTATTGCTGATAACTGTTTGCTTCAGTTTTCTTGACATATGAATGCAGTGCCATAGTGCTGGTGCCATGGGAATACCAGCCAATCCCCAACAGCAGCAGCAGTCTCACCACGCAGTGCATAAGCCCAGGAAGGGCTTATGGTACCAGTGAGCCCCAAATGCCAATTCGATGCACACACATCACTGGCTGATGCCAGACCTGTCCTGGCCTCTTGGGTTAATCACTGTCTCAGCTCAGCTGCTGGCACTGCTCTGACTCCTCTGTCTGTTGGCTCCTGAGAGAGAAGCACCAATGGGCAGAGGGGTTGGTGAACTGCTGAAACAAGATGAGCTTCCCAAGGAAGCTCCTCATCTGCAAAGGAGGAAACTTCAGACTGTGTCATCTGCAACAGCTTTCACTTATGGCCTGGCCAGTCTGGCCTCAGGGATGCTGAGGAAAACCTATGAGCCAATTTTAATTTACCTTCTGTGGATTCAGATTTGACATAAAGCACGGAATATCCCTGAATTTTTAACTGATGTCTTTTAGCAACTTCTGAGCATAACTGCAGAACTTCCATATGTAAAGACTGTAAAACATGAAGGTTTTTTCCATCTATTGTCCTTGGGTTATAAAGGACAATACTTTTTGCACCAGCTGCTGCACTGTGAATATTCAAGCCAGTTTTGAAGACCTACTTGCAGAACATTTCAGTGAACCTGAAAAGCACAATGTCTCTTTAGAGAACATCATTAATGCAGAGCAAATTAAGGTCTTTTCAATGGACAATGATTAACTGGACTGAAAAGTGAGAGGATCATGATAACCTAGTGAGATAGCACTAACTGTCACTTGCAGAAGATATTTTACATTCTCTTACATTTAACAAGGGAACACTTGTAATTCTGAATTTTTGTGTGTAATATTTGGAGCCCTGCTAGAGATCAGAAGGACAAGTCTGAAGAGATAATGTCACTTCAGGTACACATAAAAGACTTGGGCAACTCCTTGCATTCCTCAGGGGTCAGTAAAGAGCAACATGGACAGAGGGATTGAGCATATCCTCAGCAGGTTTGCCAACGACAAGCTGTGTCATATGGTTGACGCATTGGAGGGAAAGGATGTCAACCAAAGGGATCTTGATGGACTTAAGAAGTGGGCCTGTGCTAACCTTATGGAGCACAACAAGGCAAATTGCAAGGTCCTGCACCTAGGTCACAAATACAGGCTGGGCAGAGAATGGATTGAGAGTAGCCCTGAGGAGAAAGACTTGGGGGATGTTGGTTGATGAGAAGTTGAACATGACTTGGCAATGTGTGCTTGCAGCCCAGAAAGCCAACTATGGCCTGGGCTGCATCAGAAAAAACATGGCCAGCAGGTCAAGAGAGGCAACTCCTCACTCTATTCAACCCTTGTGAGACCTCACATGGAGTATTGCATCCAGCTCTGAGCCCTCAAGAAAAGAAGGATGTGGATTTGTTGGAGTGACTCTAGATGAGGACCATGAAGGTGGTCAGAGGACTGAAGCACCCCTCCTATGAAGGCAGGCCAAGAGAGTTGGGATTGTTCAGTCTGGAGAAAAGAAGACTCCAGGAAGACCTTAGAGCAGTCTTCCAGTACATAAAGGGGGCCAGCAAGAAAGCCAGAGAGGGACATTTTACAAGTGATAGGACAAGGGGCAATAACTTCATACTGAGAGAGAGTTCAAGGCCAGGTTTGATGAGGTTGCTTAAGCAACCTCATCTAGTGGAAGGTGTCCCTGTGCTTGGCAAGGGGGTTGGAACTAGATGATCTTTAAGGTCTCTTCCAACTCAAACTATTCTATGATTCTATGATACTCCATGAGCAACTGAACTTCCTGCACAGTGGCCCAAAGACTTAATCTCACCTGGAGCCTTCAGGGTGGGCTCCCCTGTATGATCAGTGACCTCTTGTCTTTCATCCCCTGTTAAATGGGGGAAATGGGAGGAAAAATCAAATGGAAAGATTAAAAGATGAAATTATGATATCATTAATCAAACCTGTGAGTCCTGATCAAAAGAGAGCTTCCTGGCTCAGAAAAAGAAGGGGGTTGTGGGCTGGAGATCTAGTGACTCAGGACACACCTCCTCCTTAGTTCCCCTACAGCAAGGGCCAAGAAGCTCCTACTGAAGGCAATTCCACCTGCAGATAAGTGCTCTTGGTAATGCTTTGAAAAGATTGAAGTATGCAGTATAGCGGAAAGCTAGTAGCTACTAAGTTCAGGGTGGGGAGCTTTTTTCTGTTTTTTCATACATTTTAAAAGGGTGATCAACAAACCATTTACAAAAATATTGGACCAAATTCTGCATTTACTCTATATAACTTCAATGACTTACATGGATTGACACTAGCAACCACAAATAGAACTTAAACATATATTTTACATTCCACATCAACTGCAATTAAAGAAATTATTCCTTACAGTAAAAGAGCAAAAAACACAGACATCCCACTTGTTTTGACATCTTTTGAAATCTCCTCTAGATCTATTTTTATTGACTACAAATATTAACAGATATTTTCTTTGATACAGATGAACGAGAGGATCTGACATCACATCCATCACCGGTAGCTACACAGACCTTGAGATGAGATTCCTGACATATCTGTTGACTGGATTGAATATGTCAACTGTGAAAAATTGCTTCTACTAGCTGCAAGTATAAATGACTCTCCTCCACTTTTAGAATTATATCCTGCAGTCACAGGTATGTAGCCAAAGCTAGAGTAAATTATTAAGTAAACAAACTATATTCCAGTGGCCAAATGTTTTACAACAGAATTTTCCTGATTTGAAGTAATTATTAAAAAGGAGCCTTCTAATATGCATGACTACAGAAAAAAACCAAAAACAACAAAACACCTTTTAAAAGAAACAAAGCCCCTTATATATGACAGAGTAATGAAATAATATACAATACTAGAAATACTATGACAGAATAAAATAAAAACACAATAGTTTTAACTATAATCCTAAATTATGAGCTGGTTTAGACACACATATAAACAAGCCAGATAATTTTCCCATTCAAAGACATCATTCTTCATCTTAGCTTGCAGGTGTATATGCACACCTAAAAGTTTCCTAAAATCTTTCAACAGATCTCAGCTTCTCAACTTGATTCTTTAATCATCACCTCAGAAGTTCTGATCTATGCAGAACTGACACTTTTCTTTCTACCCTTGGGCCTTTACTAAAACAGAGTGCCCCTTTGCTTCTGTTCTAACGCTGCAGTTATTCTCATTTTCAGCTCCTCTTCCAAGTACTTTCTTCCTTTTAACATTTGCCAATGTTTTTCAGTTCCGTTCCTAAGGTCCTTCTGATATCCTCTCAGCCAGGAATCACTTTGCTTGTCCACTTAGAAGTTTCACAGAAAGTTGCTTCTTTCAACTCATCTATCTCAATATGTGAAAAAAAAGAGATTTCCTTCTTCCTAGCAAAACCTGAACTTGGTCTGCAATCATCCTGTATCATGTCAGACACTGGGCCTGAATCATACTCTCCTTTGAAGTCCCAGGTAACCCATAATAACAGCAAACTACATGCTTTTTACCACAAAGTGTAATGCTTCAGATTGCAACATATGATTCAAATGTCCTGAAATAGTAAGTGGAGTAGTGTGAGCACCCTACTGAGAGAGTCATTTATAAAAGAAAAGGTAGTTTCTAAATAACGTCAGATGCTGACCTAGAAAATAAATGCCTAATCCAACCAAAATACCATTCTGACTACTCACCAAATGTCAGATTTTGTGTTATATCCCTGGTGTTTCAGTACTTCTGGACTCATGTAGTATGGTGTCCCAGTAAATGTAGTTGCCAAATCACATGAACCCATCAAAAGACAAGAAACTCCAAAGTCTCCTAAAAATATCAGCAGAAACAAGAATCTATGAATATAAATCTCTATCTATTCATCTAAACCATTTCTGGTTACCGCTATTGTTAGACCTTATAAAATGACTGTACGCATGAAAAAAACCAAACCTGACAGCATTTTAAAAAATGGAAAAAACAATTTTCTTGCAATTCTTCAAAATAAAAACACCACAAAAGCATAGCATCACAGAATGATGTAGGTTTGAAGAGGCCTCATGAGGTCATCTGATTCAAACCTCTGGCTCAAAGCGAATTACGTGAGGCTGCTCAGGTCCAGGTCCAGCCAAGCTTGGAGCATCCTCAAGGCTAGAGATTTCACTGCCTTTCCTGTGTCTGATTGTCAAAGAAATGTTTGATCACAAATCAAAATGCTGTTTTAGACATGATTTTCTTTAAATCTCCGTATTGACAAAACATCTGCTGGACTGTACTATTGTACCAAAATACATCTTTTAAAAGTATGGAAATCTCACCTATTTTAAGAAGATTATTTTTCAAAAATATATTCTTGGCTTTCAAATCTCTGTGAAGTATCCGCCTGGAATATAAAAGGAAATTCAGCCTCATCCAACTGGAAGCATTCACAGTCACGTATTAAGTATTTCAAGTATTTAACTTCAGTCCTTGTTAGAAAGGCCAGACCACCACTGCTATAGCCTAACTCTGCAAGTGACAACACACAGATGATGACATTAAGGAGCTTCATACAAACACAGAGGTGCATTGACAGGCACCCACAGGCAGGGTGAGAGCCTAAGCAGGATAATAGAAATGTACCCAGGGATCCCAGCTTAAGAATACAGACACAGACTTAGCATGAGCTGCAGAGGAAGGGAGAAAGGCAAGTCTTCCCATCTGACTCATCTTAAAAGCGTTACATCTTATTTTCTGCCAGGAGAATGAGATATCTCACAAGAGAATAAGGGATGAGAAAAACTGCAGTAAGAGATTCTCAAAGCTCAGGAAAGTATCTTTCAGAGAAAAAGTATTACTTGAAAGGCAAATACGTATATAGACCAGGCTAGTAGTTCAAATTTTCACAGTAACTGTGTAAAAGATGAAAGAACTTTAGAGAGATGAAAAGGAAAAGAAAAAGAACAATTAGCTTTTACAGACTTATTTTTCCATGAAAGTCTGAAACAACATAAAAGGAAAAGAAAAAGAACAATTAGCTTTTACAGACATTTTTCCATGAAAGTCTGAAACAACACCATAAGCTACACACCATGTGAGGACATACAGCATCTTCTCAATTTCTGAAAATCTTACGTGTGACAGTAACTCTGCAGCCCCTTAGGAAAACAAAGTATCTCTACAGAATATAAAATCCAAAAGCATTGCTCCCTATAACTTCAAGAAAAAGAACAATTAGCTTTTACAGACATTTTTCCATGAAAGTCTGAAACAACACCATAAGCTACACACCATGTGAGGACATACAGCATCTTCTCAATTTCTGAAAATCTTACGTGTGACAGTAACTCTGCAGCCCCTTAGGAAAACAAAGTATCTCTACAGAATATAAAATCCAAAAGCATTGCTCCCTATAACTTCAATTAAACCAGAAGTCATCCACTTCTTAAATGCTTACTAACGCACAGGATTAGTTATCAGCTCTGCTCAAGAGAAGAACAGAATAGCATTTGGTACATACTGGCTATAGAAACTTTATTTGCTAATACAAATACAGTAGTCATTCAGCCATTTAGATCAAGTAAAGAAAGCAACTGATGGTCTCAGATTCTTGAGAGGTAGGCAGAAAAAACAAATATAGTAATCAATTCTAGTTTTTCTTGAGCCATCCTTAAGCATTATCTCAAATTTGATTTAATTATTAAAGACAATGCATTGACACATGGAAATTATTTCCAAAATAGTTTCTACATTAAGACTAGAAAACATTAATTCTACAGCACAATTTATATAAACAATTTAGTCCACAACTCATTTGAAAATAATTTTTGCAAGAAGAGAAAAAAATATTTAATTCAATATACTACGTTCACAAGCGGGAAAAAACATGAAAAATAATACTAGAAGACATTGCAGTATGTACATAAACTGGGCATGAAAAAGAAACCTTTCTGGTTTTATGGGTCAATGCAAAGAGTTCTTTACACTTCTTAAAGAAATCTTTCAATTTTTTTTCCTGAAAGTAATGCCTGTAGAGAAAGGTTTGCACATAGGGAAAAATGGAAGTTTTATTCCATTTGCCTCCACTGATGTTTGTAAATAATTTGTTCTCTATTTGACAACTTTCTTGAGCAATACACATACACTAATCATACATTACATCAGTCAGGAAATTAAACTAAGATGATATTTATTATTCTTTCATGAGTAGATGTATATAATTATATATACACAGTTTTACAGAAATCTTGCTGTGATAATTAGATTCATGAAGTCTTTCCATACCATCTATCACACAGAGCCTTTGAAACAACTTGTCTCCACTGAGTTAAATTTTTCTTGCATATTCTTGCTGAGCATTGGTGGGTTTAACCTTATTTTATTATTACTTAGAAGAAATATAACCACGGAATTTTTGAATCTTGAAGTTTCCTGACTATCTATTATTTTAACAACAGGCATCTTGGAGTATAAAAAGCATCCAGAAAGCTCTCAGAACTGCAGAATGGGTCAAGTTGGAAGGGACCACAGTGGATCATGTGATCCAACCTCCCTGCTTAAGCATATTATTTGAAAAGGAGATCGAAAGAAGATGTTTGGGTCACATTAGTTTGAATTAGAATGCAATGCTAATATAAACTTGCAACATATTGATGAAAATGTTATGCATATTATTTGCATAACCAATAATTATAAGATGCTTTCATATGACAAATAAATATTTGGGGTGATTCTTTGGAGCTTTCCATGATGATGCCTCCCAGTGTAAGCCACCTTATTCTGCCATGATATGTCAGAAGATAAACAAGTTACAAGATGAAACCTTAACTGAAACACCTGCTTGAATACTCCTAAGAAATAAATATTGACC